TATATATATATATATATATATATTAGTATTGATTTGAGAGTATTAGTAAGCGGTTGTAATACATATATATATATATATCCAAAGTTGAAGAGAATTTCGTAAACTAATTGAATGATGATATAGAGATTAATCTAATTGCTTGTTTAATAACCAAACCAAAAAACTCGACCCCAATAACACTTTGTACATAAAAAGATCTCGATTTCTCGCTCTTTTTTTTCCTAAATATCGTTCGAATAATGTAACGTTAATTTTGTACCGATGAGAGAGCCCGGTGATTCGAAAACATTAGTTTTCACTGCGAATTTGCGAACGCGAAAAACGAGGCCACGTGAAACTAGTTCGATGAATATTAACTTGAAATTGCGTGACAAGATTCTAGATTTAACTTTTACACAATTTTCTCAGTTAAATTGATTGGAGGAGCGGAGCCGCGCTGAAAATTATTAATCGGCCAAGTATTTAAATTGACCTCTACGCGTATCTTAATATTGCTAAGATCGCATTTTTATTGAAATTAGATCAGAAATTAAAAACTTTGAATGCTGCCATTGATTACTTGGCAACGATTGTGTTCTATTAGCGATAAGTAATACTGAGCATAATAATTTGAAAGCAATTGAGATCGACTCTGATCTGATCGGATTTGGATAGGTCCATTATCAAATTGCACTGATAATCGCGTGGAAGGTAACGGCCAATATTCATTCTCGCGAGACTTTTACTTGTTCGCCTCACGCTCTGTTTCCGCCACGGATCGGAGCACTGTCACGCTCTAATCCTGAAGGAAACTTTCTAGTTTTCCTCCGGATGATCGACCGGGTTGTAGAATGCATTTGCACACCGTCGTAAAAATGCATTTTGAAATGTTTAAATGAAAAACGCAAAAACGACTCACGTAATTTACATTTTCATTGCTATATTTTTTCTCCCGTTACACAACTTAAACATTGTCCTTCCAAAAGGACATTTCTCTATTATTTACTCAAAAAGATCAATCTGTCAATAATTTATAAGATTACGACACTCGTAATAGGAGAAATATTATAATTAATTATGTTATCAAGTATGTCAAATATTTCAAAAATTTTTTGCTTACTTTTTCATAAATTTTATTTAAAAAATAAACATACGGAAAAATAAATTTAATCGGCAATAAATTTTCAAAATAATTTCTTGTTATCTTCCTATATGCAAAATACGAACTTATTTGCAGGATGCAATCTGTGTAATGTGGTCTTTATCGTCCGATGTTACAAGTAACTTTAGAAAATTGGTCACGCGGAAATAAATGTTCATGTGAGATAATTGTTCTTTTCTTCGAGTAAAAGAACGGAAAAACCAGTGATATCTAGAAGTAGACGCTCGAAAGCGACACACTTGCCTAATTTTCCGTCCCGTACACCCATCGACCTCTTGTTGCAAAAGAATTTCCGTGTTTGCGTATTCAGCCCCATACGTTGACTGATCGATGTCGGAATTTGGTTTACATGCAGGAATAAATGTGTCTCGTCTTGCAACGGATATAGAGTTAGTCTTCGAAACGGTCGCTCAGAAATTTATCGGAACTGTATTTTTCTCGGTACATTGATTATTCAAAGATGAGGTAAAGATGATTAGAACAAATGTAAAAAAGAAAATGTAAAATTAGAAAATAATGATTTCCTCAAGAAAATTTCTCTGGCGTCGACGCCGGAGAGACAAGCGAATTAGATCCAGCATTCAATGTGTTAAACACATATGGTTAGTGATTACATAGCATACACTTTGACAAACACACTTTCTACAAAGTAAAAGAGTAAATTCAAACCGTCGCTTTATTTAGTGTATTATTTATAAAACAATGAACAATTTATTCCTTATATATTATATATATATATATATATATATATATATATATTTCGTCTTTTGACTTTTACGAAACTAACCGTAGCAGAATTTAGATCATATCATCGTTTAAGAATTATTGTTAGCTGTCTCATTTACCTAGTAACCGAACCTTTTCTCCTTTATCAGAGAAGCGCGGGCAAAGTCAGGTCGAATCTAATCACCCTTTTCATTTTTTCAGTGTACCCGCAGAAGCAGCAGTACGCATATGCCGGATATCCGGCACCTGCGGCGTATCCGGGGCCGTATTATCACGGCTCCCAGTACGGGCCCTACAACTACTGAAGGAACTCGGCCGGTCGGCATCGGTGGAAAGAAAGTATCCCGAGCGCGCCAGTGCTCGTCGTTGATATCGAAAATTTGCGTCACTTAGCAGAACGAGAACTAAAACTACTATTCAACACGAAATCCGAGATTCCGTCGAGATCGATACGTGATCGCGCTCCGTGACGTAAAAAATCTATCGATCCGAAGTGATCGCGTACCGCGTTGATCTCGAACGTAAATTTAACCCCAATTCAAAATTCGTGGCTTCGAATGTTATATGCGAGATGTAAACATGCTATGAGATCCCCCGAAATATAAGCTCTTTTCTTCCCGCGATAGACCGATCGATTTTGATTCCATCCGACCGGAAGCAAGAGCCCAGACAGCGCGAAGATCCGAAAGACGTCCGAGAGAAGCCCAAAAGAAACTTGAAAAAAAAAAAATGAGGGAACATCTTTTGGACTTTCTTATCGCATCTTTTGGACGTTGGCGTTGTCCGGGAAGCTCGACTTGCGTGAGACGGTTGCTCAAAATACACGTACTTACACTTTATAGGAGCGAGATTACTTTGTATTTTTCCAGTTTGATAAGTAAGATAAACGATCATCCCTCACGCATCTTTCCCGCGCGTGCCGATCAAGCAAGGGCGTGAATTCACGCTCGTGAAAGATACGTGTTCTCATCGTACGTTTTCATTGGACTGCGATAATCGGTTTCACCGAGCTTTCTCGAATTCCCATTAACGAGCGTTACGCCGGTGATTCATTCATCACGGTAACGGTCTTCGGCAAAAAGAGAGGATCCGACGAAAAATGCAGCAGTCGGGCGATCACCGGCCGTGGATTTAACGGACGTTACTCGCCTCGATGAAACTCGGTAAAAACAGTCGCGAGTCGTGTAATTAATTCGATCGACCATACGTTTATCGAATTTAGAAGCTACGAAGCTTGGCTCGCGTTGACGCGCCGCGCGTTTACTATTATTTATTTAACGCGATCGAAGCTCAAGTTTCTCTCTCGAGGAGAGGATCGTCGTCGAGTCGCGCGAGCAAAGCGGAAAACGACGCGAATACGGCATCACGTTCATGAACGCTGTCGCCCCTTTGGTAGTACCAAATATTAAATAAATATCCTGACTATAAGAGCAACTATCGCGATTTCGCGAGAATATTTCTACGCGCCGCGAACTTGGTTTTAACACTTTCGAACCCAGCGGAACGGTAGATTTCAATTGAAAGTATCGAGAGATACGCAATTAAAATATAAAAGTGATTTGAATAGAATTCATGATATTTTTTTATTTCCTTTAAATCACTTTATATTAAAATGATATTTCCAATAAAAATCTATCCTTCCGGTCGTTGATGTCTGCACGCGATGCAAGATTTGATTAAATAAATTAAAAATTTGGCTTGAAAAGGTCAAAACTACTTTCTCGGGCGTATATGATCTACGTTACGTAAAGGTTTATATAATATATGGTGCTACTAGGATCGTTACGCGATAACGATTCGCGAAGTTTGTCTAATACATAGCTCTTTTGATAATGTTGATTTTTGTAAGGTTCATTACATCGATATCTTTATGTGTAAGACATTTAGGAAGTAAAGAAAAATATTTCAATTATTTTATAGATATATAAAAATATATTAGCAAATAAACTAAATTGGAATAGCTCTCTTCTCCTCTCTTTCTATATTTCATATCCGCATATGCAAATAGATTACTCCACACAAAATACATATACACACATACATATTTCAACTTTTTCTTTTAATTTATCTCTCGTCGTAGTTTATTTTTTATCAACTCCCTATAAGCTAGTAAATTTTGTAAAAGAATATAAATTATGTCATTAATTAAAAATACGAAAATTCTTAAATGTAACTAAATTAAATATAGTTATGTAATTGCGTGATAAAGCTAAATAATAAGATTTAGGAATGCAAGTATAAGACTAAAATAAAAAGTAAAACTAGCAAAAATTTATAAGATTTTACGATTAGTTATATAATAAAATAAATAAGAGTATGTACATCAAATTTAATTGATTCTGACAATTTCCATTGTCCTGAAATATTAATTCTCGCAATATAATGCGAGAATGTTATAATTATATATATTATAATCCAGTTACATATTCTACAAAAGAAAAAGAGTGCTTAATTATGTGTTGTAACGTAATAATAATTAAGATTTTAAAATCAGGAAACAGTTTCGTAAAATAAAATGCAGAATTTAATTTTCAGTGCCAGATCGTTAAATCCAAAATTACGAAGTCATTAACCTCGATTTATAAACACCGTTAAAACTGTATATCAGGCTATATTAAAGTCTAAGCGCACTGCTATATTACAGTGAGACAAGATTGTTACTTGACCAACAGTCGGTTTCAACTTTAGTGATTAAATTACAACAAAAGATTAAATTTCAATTTGTAATCGCGCGCGTGTGCACGCACGTACACAAACGCAAAATGCAATTTTAAATAAAGATTATGTAATTTAATTTAATCAAGCTCCTTACTCGCTTTCTTATTGCACATAAGGATGGCAGCTACATTAAAAATTAATTGATTCCAAATGCGCAAGTATAGAAAAAAATTGAGTGTATATATAAAAATAATAATTAGAATTTATTATGGAAGGAAATACGGAAATTAAATATTCAAAAACAATATTCGGCAATTATTCCGTTACTGCATTCATTATTCCTGATACCGTTTTAATATGTCGTTCGCAAGCAACAGATACTTGGCGTCAAGTACCAATCGTTACATCCAGCGATGTAACGATGTGTTAGAAAAGACCGTTCAGCAAAATCTCTGACACTGTCGGCAGTGCAGTACAAACTATTTGATACTTCTACCGTCAAACGCAAGGAGATGTTAGCAGCCATGTCGTGGTTCTCTAGGCAACCAATATTCGGCATCGACATTTATTGCAATTACTGCGCATTCGCGAGGACGATCGCAATATTACCCCTTCTCGACGTAAGACAGCTAGGCGTACGGTAAAGCAGTGCGAGAGAGGGAGGAAAGATGGAAAGTACGGAAAGCTTAGTCGCGAGGAACGGAGCTGTCGTCCTTTTTACATCGCGTTACGTTCAGTCAGTCGACGCGCGGCTGCCACACGGAGGACAGATATGTTCGCGCTATGCATCTTCCTCCTGAGCGTCATCGTGTCACCGCACGTAGCCGAGCGAGATGGCCCGAGCGAGAGACACTTCACGAAGGAGAAAGTATGTTATGCATAAAGGCATAAACGAACGCCGCACCTTCCTTCGTTGCACGCCCATCTTCTTCGCGGAGGAAGAAGGCCTCCTCATTATATTTTCTTCGGTCATCATCATTCTCTCTCTTTCTTTAGTTCATTGTTACGTTCTATCCATGTGGCTGACGCCACTTTTGACGAGTGTCATTATTATTACGTGATTTCCAGTACTATCACGTGCCCGGCTCGCTAACAAACGAACAGGTTGCCACGTTGTCAGGCCTCACAAACGTCACACACATGAATGAAGTTTTGGATAACATATGTGTAGTGAGGATCGTGGGGACCGCCGAGCATGCGACAGTGAAGGAGGTAAGGAGCGAATAGGAAGAAGCGCGAGAATATCCGATTTTCGCATAACTAAATCTCGAAAGAAAGTTAATTCTTCGAATTTTCCGCCCGTGGAATGACCCGTAAAATTCTAATTTATAAAAACGTGAAAACTTTTGTAAATATATGGAGTATTTTAAATTAGAAACAGAGAATATAAACAGCGAATGGATGCAGATAGCTAAATATTTTGCATCTATTATATTAAAAAATTAAACATGAGCTTGCATTTTACTCATAAATTCATACGTTTGAATAATTGCTAGAAATGAGAATTGAATACCGCATTTATACAATTCAGTTTACACTAAATGTTGTATAAGAAATTTTATTTTGAAAAGCCATGACGATAAATGTCTGTGTACCTAAATATAATGTTCTCACGTCAGAGTAACATCTATAATTTGCAGCGAAAACATATTTCTTTTCCAGTATATCAAGAGGTCAATGAAAGATCTGGGTTGGACAATCGAATCGGATGTATTTGAAGATTACACGCCCGTTGGCAAACTGAAGTTTGAAAACATAATAGCAAAATTAAATCCTAATGCAAAAAGATATCTGACGCTAGCTTGCCATTATGATTCCAAGTATACGAGAGAGAGGGATTTTATTGGAGCCACAGACAGTGCTGTGCCATGCGCTCAATTAATTAATTTGGCAACTGTCATGAATAAATATTTGACTAAACAAGTAAGTCACACACAGAACATACGAGATCAACAGTATTGATATGTACTTTAGAAAATCTATATTTATATTATATGTGTATTTTTCAGCGGGATGTTAGCTTGATGCTTGTCTTTTTCGATGGGGAAGAAGCGTTTGAAGAATGGGGCCCAAACGATTCGATTTACGGTGCTAAACATTTAGCTAAAAAATGGGATAATAAAATAACTAATGATGAAGGAGAAAACCATTTCTCTGAATTGGATAGAATGGTATATATCGTATTATGTTACCAATATAAATATATCATTAAACGTATCATATCAAAGTTTATATATGATACTATTTGAATCTTATAATTGTTTAATATTTATGTGAATTTTTTTTACAGGATGTATTAGTCCTTCTGGACTTGCTAGGCGCACCTGATCCGACTTTTTACAATTACTTTAAAAACACCGAGAAATGGTACTCCTTACTACTTAGCATCGAAAAGAAATTAGCTCAAATGAGGAAATTTGAATCGTATTCATATAACAGACCGGAACAGAGGTATTTTCAACCGTACTCGTTAGAGTCGCATATCGAAGACGATCATATTCCCTTTTTGAAGAGAGGTATTTGTAAATTATTCGTGAGACACAAATATCATTTCACAGACATTCCTATTACAAAGTGAATTTTCTATTTTCTAGATGTGCCTATTTTGCATATAATACCGACTCCCTTCCCACCCTTTTGGCACAAATCTGGCGACAATCGACACAATATTGACTTGAAGACTACAGAGAATATCAATAAAATACTCAGGGTATTTGTCGCTTCGTATTTAGGTTTGCTGATTGTCTAAATTAAGGAATCCTGGAAAAGTAATTAACAACAGTGCTTTGTCTCTAAAATATCGTCAGTCCTAAAGTATGTACAAACAATATTAAAAGAAAGATCTAAATTATAATGTACATATAGCTTAACGCTAAATTTATGAAGTATTACATATCTATCGAAACAAATAAGAAATTTTGGATATCGCGCAATATCAAAAAAATTCTTTAGCTCGAGCTTCTTTGTATACAACTTTTTTCGAACTTTAACGTTCTAAAAGTACTTTTGTATAAAAAAAAAACGTAACTTGTATAATTTTGTATTATACATAATTTAGTACATTATATAGGCATACCCATATATAATATTATGTACATTATTATAGATAAGGCAAATTCTCTATATATTTTGTATAAATTATCAGATCTGAAATTACGCACTGTACATAAACACAGCAAAGGAACGCATAAGAAAATACAATATATTTTTGTTTGGTACATGTTTTTGCATCATGAATCTCCCTGCAACTTCTCGAAAGAATTGCCTCTCTGTGACGCGTATTTTGCTCGAATACTAGAGATTTATTTTTTATTGCTGCACTAATTTTCTCGCTTTCGTCAAAAATAATTTAAACATATTCCTTTAAATACAGAGAGCGTACATTATTACAGTTATAAAAGAAAATCTATAGAGATTTATCGCGCGCCTTCCCTTTACGGTGATAATAATATTGAGGGGCGATTTGAACACCGTAAACGTCACGCAGGAAATCGCAGAGACTCATATGCGTGACGTCCTGTTACACGCTCGGAATAAATATAATACGAGCATGCATTTTATGTGCGTGTACAATCTACATCGACATTATACACACGCACGCGACGTCCAATACGAATGTGAGCTGACGACCGATGGCACTTATTGGTTTAGTGCATATACTCTTATACTTATTTAAAATTTCTCTAAAGCTACTCTATTGGAGCATTAAATATATATTTAATTCTACAGCTCCTGTTTAAAATAATTGTATAGTCGACATTAAATCATCTCGAAGGCCTTTAGTGGCGTTGCTATTTGATCATCAAAGGAGAAAAAAAATAGAAATGGCGGGAGAGATCTGGTACTGACGAAGTCGTTGATCTTTGAACGTTTCAACGAGTCGTACGTATAAATCTATATGCGAATGAGAATCGCGGCCCTCTGCGCAAACATTTCACGTATGACAGATACATCATTCATCAGTCGCGAGAGTAATGCGATTTGTCGCAATATATAACGCGCAGGGGGGTGACGCATTCGCAGCGGCAAAAAAATTTACAAGCGTGACGAAATCAAAAGGAGCGCACGTTCACCTACCGGAGTGACGCGTACGTCATGTTTTCGTCGCTCCGCGCTCGTATGACTTGTATCACGAGATCGATATCGCCAGAGTGTCGCAAAACGTAAAGTATGGCTCGCAGCGAGATGCTCTAGGTCAAAGCCGTCAAAGCGAGGTCCAACCGACGACGAGAAGGTCGAGACGAACGATCTCAATGACTTCCGCGGTTGGTATATCGTCGCCAATCGTCGCCCCGATTGGTAATGGCCGCCCCGGCACGCCGGATCGAGGTCATTGCTCGTTCGGGCCATTCGGGGCAGTTCGGGCGCGCCCGTCGCTGGAGCACCGAGCGCGGCCGAGCACGGCCGAGCGCGGCCGAGAGACACGCTCGAACTCGACGGAAAGTCGAGTGGGGGGGGGGACGCGGGACGGTGGGAAAAGAGTCGACGCCGACAGGGGCGACACGACGGCCAACGAGTCCAACGACGGCGAGATTGGCAAGAGTGAAGAGAGAGACTAGAGAGACGCGGTCGCGAGCGACGTGGAGTGATCGCGCGCGCACGCACGGCACGCCTCCGTAACCTCCGTTGCCCGTGCGTTTCGATGGTTTTGCGTTCCGTTGCTCCGTATCGCACGTTTTCGCCCGGCGCTCCGCGAAACCTGGGCGCCGCCCCGTGGTATCTGGACCGCGATCCCGACCAAGCGTGGCAAGAGAGGGTGTACTCTGGCGGCGCGTATTCGCGAGGCGGCTGACACATCGCGATCTCTCGAGCGCGACGAGGTCCGCCGTGTCGCAAGCGCGGCGAGGGAGAAGGAAGGAAAGAGCGAGAGTGAGCGGCGACGGCGACGGCGACGGCGGCGGCGGCGGCGCGGGGTGGAAAACGACCGGACGCGGGTGGATTATACCGAAAGAGACAAGGGACACTGACGTGCGCGCGGGCGGTGTTATATATCGAAGCGCGCGGGCGCGCGCGTTTACCGTGAACACAGCGTCGGATTGGACGGTAAATTAATCGTCGTAATCTGTAATCGTGCGCGAACGTAATTCAACGGTGACGTTCATTCAAGAATGCGTTAATTACGCGCGGCCGGCGGTTATAACGTGCGTGTCGGTACCTGCGTGTGACGTGCGGACGAGCGATACCCTCGCGTGGTACTCGCGGAAGAGAGCGAGCGAACGAGACAGACAGAGAGAGAGAGAGAGAAAGAGAAGAGCATACAACGCTGAGCTGGGCTAACGGCGAATCGAGATGCTCAAGTTCATCAGGGGGAAGGGCCAGCAGCCCACGGCCGAACGGCAAAAGCTGCAGAAGGACCTCTTTGCTTTTCGAAAGGTGAGAGCGAAAGCGAGCGAGAGAAGGAGAGTGTGAGACGGGCACTCTCGTACCCGGCAAGAAGGTTCTCGCGCCTCTCGCCCACACCCGGTGCGAAACACGCCGCGAATGGGCGCAGAAACGAATGTCGGGGGCGATGTTGCCAGGCCAATCTGATCAAAATGATCCGACTTGGTCGTCCGAGAAAGAGAAAGAGAGAGAGGCTTCGAATGAATCACTTGATAGGATTTTCCTCTGCCTCTTTGGAAAAGGCGCATTGTTCGGAAATCCTATCGGAAGGTGCAGGAAACACGTGCGTCTATCTGAAATACACGTTGCGTATAAGGAAAATTCATTTTCGTTTTCGAACTGACGAAAATCTTTTTGGTCCTTTCGATATTTTCGTTGACGAAGACGACGCAACATGTGTGAGAACTTGTTTTCTCACCGCATGATAAATTCAAGTCAAGAACGAATTATTCTTGGCTACTTTTATTACTTAATCCGGAAACAGTCATCTCCAGTGATTTTAACATTCCAACGAAAAATGAAACTTATAGTTTTCTTTGTTGATCGAGAATTTTTATCTAATCTATTCTTTTATATTTCTTCTCATTGCTTTTAGAGAATATTGAATAAACTTTTATATTTAATGATCTCAATAAATTGTGCAATAAGCAATATTATAATATGAAATTAATAATTACTTTTTTGTAAAAGACATTCCAGGTGATTGTTTACATAAAATGCTAAATGACTACAAGATACATGTATTCTCGATTAATAGATTCCTTTCTTAAACTGTCCCTAAGCTCTAACCAGTTTACAATTTGTAGCACATGTGTAGCCCATCTTGACTTTTTCTAACACTACGCATGCATTTTCTTCCAATGGAATGTTATTAAATTTTACGATGTCCATGTGAAAGTGAAGTCAAAATTACAAAGCATATCTGAATGACAATCGGAAAGGTACTGAACTAAAAGACAGCTATTATTTTGTGATGAATGTGGACAAAGTATGATACAAAAAATAAATCTTTCCGATAAAAGAAATCCGTCATTTTATTAACACATAGTATTTATTTTGTGCAAAAAGAATACATATTTTATGAATATGAGGAGACAGAAAAGCCAAAAATTTAGTTGGTTGTATGACTCAATAATATCCAAAAAATCTCGGTCTAAGTGACCATTTTTATGAAAGGAATTTACTTGGAATTTATCAGACACAGATACATTTGTTAACGTTACAAAGTGCATGTAATAGTTATTTCAACAAAAGCATTCAGATTACTGCGTAAGTTTATTATTTCATATCTTGAGAAAACATATCGAGTTATGCAATTAGACGAATTAAAATCAATCTTTTTTTGTAATATTTTTACAAATTTATGTATGTAAATTATTTTACCATTATGTGTCATTGAAAATGACGAGTTTTTATTAGAATACTCATTTCATCCTGTCTATTCGTTAGAAAATAATAGTAATTTTGTTCCCGATTATCTTCCTGCATGCCTGTAGACACAAGCGTTTACTTTCTTTACCCAATTTTAGAAACACAGATTATTAAAACATGTAGACGAAAGACAGAATAAGATATTACTCCTTTAACAGTCATCAAATTAAAATATTCATGAAAAATTTTGCAATTTCTAACCAACGGAAACGGCGGTGAATCTTCGTGCAGACATCAGGTTCGAGCGATTCTTTTCGCCCGGTATATCAAGTTACCGTCTGTACCAATGGTATCTTTTTATCGTCTGCCTTGTATATTCTCTTTTTCCCTTATTCGTTGCCCATGCACATGCTGCAGTAGTTTATTTAGTTGTTTGCGACTGTAGCGTAATAATTTTTACAATACGAGCACGCAGCTAACGAAAAGATGTTCACTGCTATTTTCCGCGATTGGTTTATGGATGTACAGGCTGTTACACGATGTACTGTACTAACTTAAATAAATTATTTAAATCGACATTTCTTTGGCAAATATTTAACTTTAGTTTATACGGTATGTTGTGTAACACTCTGTATATCTCCAGCCGATTCTTATCTTTACCTGAAAAAGTTCCCACGACTGGACTCTTAAAAGTATGCAGATTATCGTAAAATATTTGTGTATCGACGATTACAGTAATGCAACTGACCGGAAAACGCAAAATGCGCTGCATAGAGTATGAAAAATAGCGCACGAAATTTGTTCAATTTTCCTTCAAGAATATGAAAAACAATCAATCAACATTTGTATTGTAACATTCGATATTTTAATAATTGATCTAAAATTAAAATTCAGTTTTTAACGAACAGTTTTTCAAATACAAACATACATAACATTCTATTGTTTACATTTTCCGAGGTTTCACAAGAAGCTGTTTATTTTCAATCACCTGACATTTCCGTTAACAGAAATTGACTCTGGATTTCACGGAGGATGACGCTAGAAGTCGATTTTCCATCAGTTCTGAGATATTCCGTATCGCATAATATGATTTATACACTTGATACCGATTTGTTGTTTCGCATAATGGAGTTATTTTGCATCTGTATTATTACGTCTGCTGTATTATTTGCGTTGCTTGAAAAGAATTGTCGACAGATTGCAGGTCTGGTCGAAATCTGGCATTAGCAAAATCCGCTACATTTATTCCACTTCTGATAAATATAATACATAACACAGTGCATCTTTTACAAAAGTTAACTTGTCTTTTTGTTTTATTTTTTTTTGTTTTTTTCATAGAATAAAATTTTTTAACACATATATGCAAGAAATGTAACGTTTATGGGATAAACAAATCTTTTACTTCTGGAAAAGACAAGATATTTATATAGAGGAAAAACAAGATATCTATATACATTACGTATTACATGCGCGCACATAGAATATTTTGTCCTCTGAAGGAAAAAAAATTATTCATCAAGGACGCATTTCTTGCACGGAGCAATTGCACTTTGCGTCGGTAATATTATGTAAAGGCGTCTTACACTTTAACCTGTGCATACATATTCCGCTATCTTGTCGAAATTCTAAAATATATCTTGTATCATTTCACTATCGATTATCTTGTCGAGATAAAACCGACGAAATTTGCTGTTTTATGAGATGTCGTTATAGCATATGCAGGGACGTATTTGCGAAACGTCGTTACTCCGTTTAATCACGCGTGAAAGTATTTGCGCTCGCCCAGACGCTGCACTGGCTCGTTAATTCGCGTTATTTATTCATGAATAAATCGCGCGATTCCATTTGACCAGGTATTTCGTGCATCAATCGTAAACGGCCGTATATTCAGGGGGGGGGGGGCTACGCTTCAAAGCCGACAGCATATTATCTGATGTATCAGAACGTGTTTGCTTACTTATGAAATGCCATGAATTTCCACGGCAAGAATGCAACTCGAACGGCGTCAACGAAAGGGTATCATAATATTATACGATTGTTGTAAGCAGAAAAGTAACTTTGTTGCACATTTTTCTCTTAACCGTACGCTATAGAGATAATAGACAGACAGTTTATGTAGCTGCGTGCACATTATCTGAAGAATTTCGATGTTTATAGAAATTAGGCTTTTTCAGAATTTGATCGACTTTGATAACGGGAATTTGAGACGATGCGGCTATCTCGATACACTTTTTATCTTAATTGCTAACAACCGTTGTCGCTTATTTTTTTTCCTTATAATTAATTACGTTCTTCAATTTTGTTGGTGTAGAAATTTTAATTTATTTTTAGAGATCAAAAATATAAAATAACAGTTAATCAAATTTGTATATCATAATTTATGTAATTGCTATACGGCACCCTGCCGTATTGAGTTGAAAATAACGATTCTACGAAATCGTTAACATCGCGAAAGTTAGTTTAGTAAGAAACGAATTTTTTTAACAAGTGGTTTGATAAAAAGTTTAGTCAGACTCCCGAGGAATTTGTTCCTCTACTTACAATTAGCATGCTACTTGCGGATAAGATACTGTATACTATCCCGTGAAGCGGCGAAGGAATGGCTGTTACTCAACAAGTTAGTTAACGATGAAACAGACGGTATTCGGCTGACAATAACCGTCCAAGTGTTACGAAGTCATGGTCTTTGTTGAATGCGGCATTGCATTTTTCATTATGCTCTATTAGACGCACGATCGAACAATCGTTTGAAAAGACGAACGTGTTCCACAAGGTGCACGCGTATGTGCGAAAGCCCCCGTGACAGATAATTTCTTGCCACTGGGTCCGTGCAATCTGCAGGAAACGTCGAAACCTCTTATCTTTCGCGCAAGTGACTCTGGGAACGGCTTTTTCGAATGAATTACGCGGAAATCAACAAGTCAATATTGCACCTACACTGGAAAAACACATTACAAAATCATCATCGTTGCGTTAGAAATTCAAACTCGAAGCGTTTTAAATTTAATTATTTTACTAATGTAAAATAGAAAGTTATTGAGATTTAACTGTATATATTATAGATGTGTGAAGTTTATCAGTTTATAAAAATTTTTACGAAAATGTGATTGTTTTTCTGGTCATTGTATCATCTGTACATAACCTTATGATTATAAACAAAAAATAATTTAGCGAAAATTTACTTTTGTGCTGTGATCTTGAAGGAGTGATTTAAATTATTTATAAATGAAATTTACGGAAAATATAAAAACCTATTTTGATTCTGAATTATTGCTTGCCCATGCTACTTGTAAATGATGAGCAGCACTTCTAATACGTTTAAACGAGCGAAAGAGAATTATTGATGCTTTTCACTGTAAGAGTATTCTCAACGCATATGCGTTTGCTCAACATGATGACGCCGTGGTACGTCGTGTGCATTATCGCGAAACCCTATAGCGATTTAATTCCCCGCGCTGTGGATTCTCGAAGAAGTTCCACGAAGTGCATGGAGAGAAAATGTGCGAGAGTAAATCAGACCGCAACGGCGTGATGGCGAATCCAACCCTGAATACAGTTATTCAACTAACAAATTGAGTGGCACATTTATGCTCAATTTTTTTTATGACACAATATCTTAAAAAATTTCTGTTAATTTTCTCATTTTTTAACTTGATGATTAATACATCAAAGTTTAATATTCTTAATCACAGTTCATTATACGCTATTCTGTAAATATGGAGATATTATTATCGCTGATTATTTATATTTTTTTTAGATTTGCAATATTTTTTCAGTGCAAAAATTGCAATACTGATTTATTGATTCCTGCGTATTCGATAATTCGATCGAAAAGCCCGCAATCTTTATATAAAATTTTAGAAATTTATTCTGCGTTTAAATATATTCGGTATTCTATTAATATATGTATATACATTTTTAATATTATTGTTATAATTAAAAAGAAAACAGTTCGAGATATTGTTAACACGTCATACATCAGTCAGTCTTATTTAACAAGTTAATATGACATGATTCTCAGAATACGGTATATCTTACCGAACTCTTAATTCTTCGATAGCTCGATGCCAAACGAGAGACTTCAATATATATCACGTAGATAGTGAGTGATCATATCGGCATTACGTGCAAACAAAATGTGATAAGACCCTCGTGGGACCTTCCCTTTTTTCGTATTTGCTTGGGTGCGTTCTTATAACTGCACATCATCGAATCGATATTATACTTGTCATATGATAACTTTGTCGGAAAAATCAATCTTTAAACATGTAATTTTTCTAATTTAGATGTGTGTATGTGTGTGTGTGTGTGTGTGTGTGTGTGTGTGTGTGTGTGTGTATTTTTTTCAGTTGAAATATGACAGAAGAGATTAGAACGAATATCTTCGTTGCTGGAATTTGACGTAAATATGTTTTCAGTGATGGATATTTGACAATTCAGTCGTGAAGCAAATACGGTTCAACCTTGATATTTGTCTATATTTCGATTTTTTCTCCCCGGTATGCAAATGATTCGAACGGTTTGAAAATCGCTACATGCAAATAGTGCTCATTCATCAGTACGCACGCACTATTTGAGGAGACAGAAAAAAGGGAGAAATTGGCGTAGAAGGTGTAGATGAAAAGAAGAGGTCTCATACCTCGTTTCGCGAAGAAGGGAAGAAGTTCGCCAATTTACATATCCCGCGCGTTATGTGGATGTGATTGTGAATCGTAGCTTTATTCAGTTGAGGCTCGTAAACAACTTGCCAATATCTCGCGACCGGTGAAAAATTTTTGTATTTTTATTTAAGTATCGAAATATGAAAGTTGATTTTTTATCCTTTATATATCGAATAGATACGTAATAATAAAGTTGCGAAAATTAAATTTGAGTTAACTTTTTCTTCAGAGGACTTTAGGAGAGAATAATTATTAGATTATTAGATTACTGTCGCGATGAATCTTTTATTTGTAGTTACCGCTAAGTAAGTACTGTCGAATGAGACAAAATAAATTCGATGCATTTTTCTGCATCGAAAATCGAATCTTGCTTACTTGCTTTGTTTGATACTCGCGAGTTTCATTGCGAATTTAATTTGAAAGAAGCGGGGAGAGACACGTGTTTCTTTGTTGCACAGAATACCAGCGCGGTGTCTCACTTTAACTCTCGTTAGAATGTATCTTTCATAAAGATCGTGTTTAACACAACTTGCAGGTAGTGACACCTATTCTCATGGAAATGGTCCTGGAGCCAAGGTCCGCGGGACCACCGGTTTTTCTAATTGCGACAGTTCAAGTTGTTGTATCTATCGGGCAAGATTAAATCCTCGACGAGATCTTTGTCACCAAGATTTATCGAGAGTTTATCAATTCTAGGTAGAAAAATCTTTCCTCTGTACATTTTTCCTGCATGCTTGACCATCTATTTATCGATTGAATTACAAATTTTGACGTAGCCTTAAGAAGATTGGCGGCGATGACGACAATTTTCTATTCTCCAATCTCTGCAAGTTTAGATGAAATTCTGTTTTATCGAAGACGTGAATAACACATATTCCCCTGTTGCAGATAGTTTATACATTTTAATAAAGTTCTAGAATTTTGTTGCATGAAACTATTTCTTTCCTGTGATGAATACGCAACGCTATACAGAAATTATGATGAAAGTTTCTACGACGGAAATTCCAAGTAAAATGCAAAGCAGTATGTGTTTACTTTGATTTTGATTTTAGCATTTTTTTAACGAGTACTTTTTTTATAAAACATTTCTTTTTTAGTTTGTAATTTTTTTTTCTTCTTGAAAAAGATAATTGTAGGCAATTTTTCAAATATCAAATATATGAACCTCTTATTGGCCTTGAATTAAGATCTTCAGATAATAGAGTTTATATGTATTTAAATTAACATGATTTATTAATTGCATGCATTTCACGGAAAATTTTATCTTCCATCGTTTGCAGCTATTAGTACTTAATAGGTAGCTTCGAAACGCAATGTTTTCTCCATTCAAAAAAACAATTCTTTGCGTTGCTATTTATTCGCTATTTGATACTAATTTATTTCATATTAACTAATGATTCAAAATAAAATCACTACGCCTCGAAAGATTAATTTCAGAGAGAAAAAATTTCGCAACTTTATATAAAAAAATCATTTTATGTATCTAGAATTTATTTAGAGGGAATGCGTGAAGATTTTAGGTCTGCAGGACATATTACTTGCATATCTCGCAATTCTCGCGGGTGTTATAATTGGCCGTGGGAAGGGACGGAAATAAATGAGCGTGATCCACGCAGAGTTTACCAGCACCACGTATAACAACAATATTTCATCACTCAAGTCTTTACTAGCCTCTGGCTCCTTTTCGAAGGCACGTATTCCGCAGCCGGAACGTATATCGTATGCTGACGTACGCGCGCGTGTAGGTATGAAACGAGTACGATAAGCCACGCTCGATTAACGGGCACTGTCAAAATGTGACTCATCGCGAGACTCGCGTTAACTAACTCGTCGCAACTTTCACCCAAATCAGCCATTAATAGCTGTGCCAAGATTCTACAGTGCCGTTTCTAATTGTGTCCTACATGATGATCGAAAGTGGAGCTAAAGGTGACTGAAAGTAAACGAATGTTATTTACGTTCTACAATTTTAGGAAACAATAGAAATTCCGAAGCGATACACGAAAAACGATAATACGATAATGAGCATTAATGGGAAAATTATATCGATTGAAAATGACTTCAAATTAACGTTCAAGCGTGACTAATGCGTGGGACAGCTATTTTTTCTTCAAATTACTTCACTCTGTAATAATTTATGTTTTATATATTTATATTTGATACGCAAAACTATTATGATTATTGAAAAATTACTATGTTAGATTTATAATAGATTAATATAAGCTTCGCGAATTTATTACGAAAAGTTTTTAATATATTCCGAATATCTGTACCTATATAATGATATAATAAATGAAGATAATGAAATAATTTACAATATATTAGTGATGGAATAATACCTATACGTAATGCATATATTCACCGATTTCCTCCTAATTCATATTATACTGCAGATAACAATTATCTTTTATGCCTTTGTAATCTGTTAAATTAATAAGTTTTAATATTTTTTGTAACGATTATCATAAATTTAAAGAAATATTGCACTGTTATGTTTACCAGAAAATTTCTTCAAATAAACCTAAACGAAAACTTTTCACATAAAATTGTTTTGGCCTTAAATTGCTCTGATCTTAAGTGGTTTTGATCTTAAATGTTGAACGCAATAAGCATCAACGAAGACAGTTAGAAACATAATTCTGTTTACGATGTCAGGAAATTGATCGAAATCGGCGTTGCTAATGGGACCGCTCTTATTCGTTGCAGACGGTGCAGCATGGTTTCCCAAACAAGCCAACCGCTCTCGCCTGGGATCCGAGTCTGCGGCTGATGATCATCGGCACGGCATCCGGCGCCATCAAGGTGTATCCTTTTGCTTTTCTTGCCTCCTCGCCTCCTCCGTCTACCTCGCTTTCTTCCCGTTTGGTATTTATAATCTGGTCCCGAGGCGCAACCGCGCCAGGACTCGATGACGCACGTATCGATCTATTAATCCTCCTTCGTTCCTCGGGAAGCGAAAAAATACGACAAGTTCAAATAGCATAAAATGTTTGTTACAAAAATTAATCGTTAATATTATCTTGGAAGGGATTTTTGTATTAAATGTTGTATGACATTTCATTATTATTTAATTTAAAAGAACGCTTTGAATCTTTAGTCACAACTCACTAAACAGAAAATAAATATTCACCATAAAATGGAAAGCTATTACTGCCGTAAATATCGGCAGTCGGCTGTAAATACTTGTTATGACTTTTTTATTGCCACAATAGGAAAATCTGTTTCGTGGTGCCGCGAGCGATTGCTTAACAAAGACTTCATAAATCACTTGCGGTATGTTTTATAAACCTGCACTCTGCTTAGAGCTGAGCATTATTGAAGAAACATTAAATCACGCTTAGAGTTCATGGTGTTCGCATGAAACAATATCGCATTATGTGAATGCATTTGTTCTTAATTGAAAAATTTAATGCAGCGATTTTTTTGTTAACTTACTTTCTTTGAAGATTTGAGAGAAAATTGGTCCAGGGTTACGCTTCTCAATTCTAATGTTCTAAATTTCTTGAAGAGACGGTTAAACAGCTGTCGCATGAAGAGCTCGTCGATTAAGAACAACCACGTTTGCATAATGCAGGATTCAGTTAGAGATATCGATTGTTTGCGAAAATGCACATGCAGCGTTCGATCGAAATGTTCGACTTCGAAAGACTGCTGACCAATTTTATTACGTGTTTATACGAGGAATAATATTACAATATTTCGTAATCATTTTACGTTAAGAAGGTCGCTAACTATCGAACGATGAAAGATTGAAGTTTACGATAATTTGCAGTATTAAGGTCAGCACGAATTCGGTTCTGCAATACTTTGTTGATTTCATCTTCCGATCTCGTCAACGTTTGCTTAATTCATATACATGCAGGAATTAGTAATAAAAAAATGAATTAAATATGAATATTTATATTTGGTGTGAACTTTAAGTTATATCGGACAATAAATTTAAATTGTTTTTTTTTTTCTAATTTTCGCATAGAGATATGCAATTTAAATAGTAATTTATGAATAATTAAATTTATATCCGTTTTTTATTTTTGTTGATTGCTTGCAGTTTTCCAATCAGAAAATTTGCTGTTTTAGAAAACTGCATTTATGAGCGGGAAAAGATTATTTTTCACAATAATCTTTTTATATAATATATTATGTTATAAATTTATACGGTACAACTTATTTTTTTATTTTTATTTTCTAAAAAATCCTTTTTTTCTAAAAATGTGTATGTTACGTATAGTTGCAAAATTTAAAGTTTAATATGCTTTCATACAAAAGAGAGTAAAAAAAAGTTATATAAGAAAAGCTATGTTTGATCCGAGAATTATCCTGTCGATACCCGGAAATTTACGCACTTTTGATTTCGTAGATGCTATTAACGGGATGTTAGATCGTGGCGAAATAATCAACACGTCAGCGAGTCGGCAATTTAATGCCGGTTTAATACCGTAATCGCGTGCGCACCGTCGGCAGATGCTTCCAAGGACTACGTAATCACCAGATAATCGTTATTATTTCGCAATAGATATACGTATACACGATTATCTGTGCGGCACACCTAGTTGTCGCGTAAGTGAAACCATCGGCGTTTTACAAGCGTCCGTACGATCAACTATATTTGAACTTAATCACGGGCCTCTTGAACTCTTTCCGTAACTTGAAGCACCTCAAACGACGATACGATTTATCTAGTTTCCGTTTTTAGACTCGACAGCTTTCTACGAACCAGCAGGCTGCGTATCGCTGTAATGGGTTCGGATAGATCTAAAAAAAATTTGACATGGGAAATTTAGTTAGAAAAAGCAAATTGTGTATATTAATTGTGCCTTTATTTATGCCGGATTGCAGAAAATATTGATCAAAAGTAAAAAATAGATGACATTTTTTTGTACCAAATAGATAATGTCGCGCTCACTTTTTAAATTGACGAGTGAAAAGTCTTTATTAAACATTTTATCGTGCAGATTTTTATTGTCTTTATTCAAACTTTGTATATATTTTCTAAATTCTTTATATGAGTGTGATGAAAAGTATTTAAAAATAAATGGACATTATTATGCAAATCATTATTTCATCAATAAAGATGCATCGAAGAATTCAATATAAATTCAGTTTAACCAGTCTTATTTAAGAACTGGAGAAAATTTGTATAAATTTAATTTCATATAGCTTTAATTTTCTTAAAAAGATTTCCTTTTTAAAGAGATTTGAATCATTGCTGAACCTTTTAAGAAAATTGATTAAGTGGATCTTAAAAAATAAAATAATTCTCTTTCAGAATCATTCAAAGTAATTTGGGATTACGTAACTGTCCATTACAGCTCAACTGGCATAATAATTGTGTGTCATTCATTGCGGAATTTACTATAGAATTTGCAAAGTGTGCACTTACATACGTATGTTCAGCAGCTGTTTCTTTGAATGATGATCCTCACTGTCAGCACGTTAAATCGGTCATTTGCAAATTCGAGGTCCGAGAGTCTATTCTCTCAAGCGCGTGATGCGTGTTGTTTCTATGTCAGCGTTTCACACATATTTATACAATATTATATAACCCCTTCTCTTCCTTTGGAATTCCTTGACTCAAGCATCAGTTTTGGAAGACCAGGCGTAGAATTCTACGGACAACATTCCGTCGAAAGCGGTGAGAATGCCGTCACGAAGATTGTCGCGCTGCCTAATGAGGTAAAATTTTATGCGTAACGATTGCATTTACATTAGAGAAGAAAACTAGTTTTCAGTGTTGATTCCTTATCTGCCTTATCGCATAATTGCTACGAACCGCCTCTTCTTTATTTACATCGAACATTAAATAGTTTGCTAAATGGCGCTGATTTAAAAAAAATTTGAATGCGTATTAAGATATAAGGATCTCATTGATTAGTTTTCAATGTACATTTCTCTCATTACTATTTATACGATTATATATAATGCATTATATTTACATTTTGTGCGTGTATCTCTATGTTTATGTGTAAATTATTTTGTTTCGCGATTTACGTAGAAAGGTACTAATTCGCGGTAGTTCCGCTAAAATCGCACTCATCGCACCGACAGTAATGCGACACCGTGTTCCGCTTATACGGTTGCCAGTGGGTTGCATAATCCCGTGCGACACCGTACAATGTGCTCACGCACGCGTGTACTGATAAATAATACACGGGTGCAACGACATCGCGACGGTGCGTCGCAATTAATGCGGAATGCAATTAAAGCCATGATGTAAAATGTGAAAAAAAAAAGACTTTCTTTGCGCTTCCGAATGTTTAATTATCCGTTTACCAGCAGACACGCGGTTTCCCAACGTTTAGTCAATGTATAGTGATAGCGTTAATATGATTATCTTAATATGTTTCTAATCAAGCATTTTTTAAAGATATTTTTTAAGAGACTTGTTATGATAACTAAAAATAAAATATGATAACTACATAAAGTAATTACATACGATATTTTATGGAGCTATAAGTTGGCAAAATTTGTTTAATTATAAAGTTGATAACTTACTTGCAATACTATACCTATAATTTATACAATATTACTCGAAGGTGTGGCTTTTAATTGAATTGCGTTTTTCGTTTTACGATCATATAACGGCGTAAGCGTGAACATTCGTTATCACGATAAGCGTTTCCAAGTAAATCCGCGACGGCCGATAAGATAGCAGCTAGTCTATGATAAAGATCTAATATTACTTTTTATTCAATTTTAAATTCAACTTTATATTTATTTTGATAGATTTTTTATAATTAACTTTGAACTATTGTATGCAGTAATCAAGAATTTTTATGTTAAACAGGAGCGATGATAAAAATGCTTAAGAAATGAAAGAACGCTCTTTTGCAAAAAAAACTTAAATCTGTTATACTAAGAATCATTACCGAATTTATTTTTTCTAATTACATTTTTTATAAAGCAATTCTGAAAAAGAGTGTAGATGAACTTGTTTTTTCCGTTTGCTGGTTTCGCTTTGTGTATTACGCGCGACAGTTGCAAAATAGAAAAGATACGAGAATTGAGAAGTCTCGTGAGAAATCGCGATGTTATGCGAGTATTTTCTCCGTGTAATAATAGTGATAGGAGAAGCCAGCAGCCGCTGATCTTATTGCGAGAACGTTTTATTACTTCCGCTATATCAGAACACACGCTGACTTTCTAAGATAAAAACCGTTGTTAAAACTTCCTGTCAAATAAAATATTTAATAGACGTATGTAAGAGAGAGAGAGAGAGAGAGAGAGAGAGAGAGAGAGAATGTGTGTGTTTATATGTGTGTATGTGATATTAGAAAGTTTGAAGAATATTTTTATTATTAAAAAAGTATTCTTAAGAATTAAATGAAAAATATTTCAAAGAATGCTTTGCTCTGTGGAATATAATATTTAAGTAAACATTCTATGAACAATTTTGGTGTATCGTAATTCGCAGGGTCGCGTGGTGTCCTTGTGTGACGACAATTCATTACATTTATGGGAGATTAATGAAAGTTCCGTGGTGGAAACAAAGACGTTGTCGTTGGAAGGGAAATTAAAGAAGATCTCTGCGATGTGTCTCGAATCTAGTGGGGAACATTTATTGCTAGGAACGGAAGGAGGCAACATCTATTTACTAAACCTGAAAACTTTTGTCACCCCGGAGAATATTATCTATCAAGATGTTGTGATGCAGAAGTAAGTAATTAGATTATCTGTCGTTATTTAATTTTACCTAAATTTGTTTGTCTTCTATATTTCTATAATCTAAATGCCAACAAGATTATGAAAGATGCTTTACTTATCAATTTTGTAGAGAAGATTTTATTGTCAATTTTATTGCAATTCTACAGCATAAATCATAAAATTTGATTTTTTTATTATCTCTATTATAAAAAGTCGACGAAACTCTGAAAAAAGTCACATTTTATTTAAAAGAATAATAGAATAGAATAATGTACACATTTTGAAATAAAAATTATTGAAGACCAAAAAAAAATACTTTATATAAGATCATTAAGCTGTTTTTATCGTATAGCGTTCCGGAAGATTACAAAAAAAATCCAGGAGCGGTCGAAGCCATAGCCGAGCAGCCAGGGCATCCGGACAACATCCTGATCGGCTATAATCGAGGTTTGATGGTACTGTGGAACAAAGCCACTCCAGGAGCTCAACAGGTAAGCCTTGTATTATATATCTACGTATACACGATTACACTTTGGCAAATGCAATAGTCACACCCTGCTGTAACGCTTACACGCTTTTTGCAAAACAACACAGTGTGGGTCAATGTTTAACCCTGCTAGCTCATTCATTTCTGATACACACTCGAGTTTAAATAAATTTTTATACAGTTCTTAATCAGTCGTTATCATAGATAAAGATATATCTTTATTTTATTTTATAAACGTATATTTAAAAAAATAGAGAATTGATGAATTGATAGAATTAACAAATGTTAAGTGTGAAGATTATTAGACTAAATCTAAACACTATGCATTTTTTTTACATATTTTCTTATATACAGTCTTATGTTAATATAACCAATGAAAGTATATATCTTTTTTACTTTCAAAGTTTTTTTCTATTTTAGAAGTATAAATTGAAAATATAATCAACCTTAATCTCTAATAACTTTTATGGTTCTATCATAAAGCTACGGAGTCTTACAAAATGTTAATTGATTGATTGAAAATGGAACTGAATGGAATAGCAGGGTTACACAGGGTTACAAGAACGAATTGTGAGATGGTGGATCGCTCGTTCTGATTGTCGTTTGTGTCTTTGGTGGTCTTTGGTGGAACGTGTACGCGCAGCTGATGGGTTTGTTTTCGCGTGCGCAGACATTCGTCTCCACGCAACAGCTGGAATCGGTCCACTGGATATCTGAGAACCGCTTCGTCTCATCACACAACGACGGTTCCTACGCATTTTGGAGCCCGGGTAGCGACGCCGTGCCGGAGCCCACGACACTCTACGGGCCGTTCCCGTGCAAGGCCGTCACCAAAATCCTCGTGTATCCTACCGCGGAGTAAGTCATTTTGAGATTGTGTAATATCTTCTTTTCTCATTTTTTTTTTCACGAATTTAACTGAGCTTTTTTTACAGACACGGGGAGCTTGTGCTATTCTCTGGTGGTATGCAACGTGCCAGTTACGGAGGCCGGCATACGATCACTGTCATGACCAAGGAGAAACATTTAGTTTTTGATTTTACATCTAAAATCATAGACTTTTTCATCGTCTTCCCGAAGGAGGAGGAAGAGAACAATGAAAATCCTATTGGACCAGAAGCGCTTATAGTGTTGGCCGAGGAAGAATTGGTAGCTATCGATTTGACCAATCCCGAATGGAAAATGATGGCCCTGCCTTACCTAGTATCTCTCCATGCGAGCTCGGTGAGTAGTATACTCTCAAATAAATGTAGCAAAATTGTGGTAGATACGTGATACAAATTCTTTCTCATATTATAGGTGACTTGTTCCCAACATGTGCCTAATGTGCCCGAGGAACTTTGGGAGGCGATCGTAGCGGCCGGTAAAGCGCAGACCGAACATCTTTATTCGGATAAGTCGTGGCCTATCGATGGCGGTAATATCCTCTGCCAGAAGCCGGCGAATCCTGACAAGCCTAGAAACAGAGAGCTACTACTTACCGGACACGAGGACGGTACCGTCAGGTTTTGGAACGCGTCCGACGTTGCTCTAACCCCTCTGTACAAGTACAATTCGTCGATTCTGTTTACCGGCGAGCACTTGGACGTTCTCGAACAACCTCCAGAGGACGATGAGGACGAGTGGCCACCGTTCAAGAAGGTGGGAATCTTCGATCCGTACTCTGATGATCCGCGACTCGCCGTGAAGAAGGTCCTCCTCTGCCCGTTATCCTCGACGTTGGTGATTGCCGGCACAGCTGGACACATTATCGCCGCTACCATTTCCTCGGAACCGACCAACAAGGAGATAAAGGCCGTAACAATGAACATTGTCAACGATCGCGATGGATTTGTATGGAAGGGTCACGATCATTTGCCGCCGAGAACGACGAGCATATCATTCGCGGTAGGATTTCAACCGCAGAGCCTCCTACAGCTGTACCCACCGGCAGCTGTCACAGCGTTAGCGTTGCATAGTGAATGGGGATTACTCGCCGCTGGCACAGCGCATGGACTCGCGGTTTTCGATTACACTCGATCGAAAGCCGTCAGTGTTAAATGCACGCTTAATCCAAATGGTATGTGAATGCTGCAATCAAATGAGGTACTCTCTAAATTTTCTGGAGTGAATCTCACTTCAAAAGATTGAAAATACTGCCACTCGACCATTTGAGTAACAGTATTTTCACTCTTTTGGAGTGAGATTCACTCCAAAAGAGTGAAAAGTCACTCCAGAAAATTTAGAGAGTAACTTTAGATATTGATAGAAAATATTTCTTTTCACAAGTTCTACATTAAAAAGCTATAGTAGCTTCCCTTATTCTTTAGTAGTTCTGTAAATCTGACAATAAAATCTAAAAAGTGAAAAAAGAATATTTACATGGAATTTAAAAAATATATTTTTCTTTAAAATTACTTTGCTTTTTATATTACTAGTACATAACAGGCGCGCGCTTCGCGCCCACCACCACCACCCACCACCACCACCACCACCACCACCTACTACCACCACTTACCACAATTACTCTTTACCACCATTTTTTATATCATGTGATTTTTACAGTAAAAATTTTTTTTTCCAAATTTTTTGTCATGTAATTTTTAAAGTAAAAAATTTTTTTTTGAAAATTTTTTATATCATTTGATTTTTAAAATAAAAACTTTTTTGAAAACAACGCAGGTAACACGGCAATTTTAAGATAGGACATCGTAATTAAATATGACTATTTTAATGTTTTGCAGATCTTTCTGGTGCAGGCGACACTCCTATCTCCCGACGGAAGTCTTTCAAAAAATCTCTTAGGGAATCTTTCAGGAGATTGAGAAAGGGACGTTCACAACGTCGAGCAAATGCTAATAGCCCTACACGAAATACTGCACCGGAGAAAAAGAAAGAAAGGTGAGTTAGGATTAAAATATTAATTTTATTTGATAAAAATAAATAAAGGGAGAGAGCAATTTGTAATTACTAAACTTTAATTCCAGCGTGACTTCTTCACCGAGTGGCGATCTATCACCGGCAGAAGTAAAACCGGTGGAAAGACAAGTGGAAGCGAGACCCGTCGACGATGCTCTAGGTTCTATGGTTCGATGCTTGTACTTCGCCAGAAGTTACATTATTAGCCGTTAGTAGTTTTTACGTTAAATACAACATCAGTGACGTGCCGCAATATTACATATTTGACCTAAAATTATTTGTTTATAGTACAAAATACAACACCCACACTTTGGGCGGGTACCAACAACGGCACTGTTTACGTCTTCACGTTGGCTATACCGGCTGGTGTGAGGAGAACGGAAGAAGACGTCAACTGTACACTGGGCAAAGAAATACAATTGAAGCATCGAGCGCCCGTAATCGCGATCACGATCCTCGACGGATCCGGCGTGCCGTTACCGGAACCCTACGAGGCCGAAAAAGGTGTAACGCCCGGACCCGACATGACTTCCACGCACAGAGTCGTAATCGCCAGTGAGGAACAGTTCAAGATTTTCAATCTTCCGTCCCTGAAACCGTATTGCAAGTACAAATTGACCGCTCACGAGGGATCCAGAGTGCGAAAAACGGGTTTTGCCAAGTTCTCGTGTCTCGTCGAGCCAGCGGGAACTCACGAGGAAACCTGCTTGCTTTGCCTAACGAATCTTGGTGATTGTCTGATACTGAGTATACCGGAACTGAGAAGACAGTTAAATGCCGCTGCGATCAAGAGAGAGGATATTAAGTCAGTATTTCTGTTATTGTATCTCGTGTATCTTAAGCACGTCAAATTCATACGAAATTCAATGTATCGGTTTTTTTTTTCATTTTTTAGCGGTATTTCTTCCTTGATATTTACAAAAGCTGGGGAAGCGTTGTATCTTCACTCTAGTTCGGAACTCCAACGAATTTCTCTGTCAGCCGCGAAGATGACGAAGGCGCATTGCGCGCTTAATTTACCACCGCACGCTAGATCGTTTGCGGAAAATACTAACGAAGTCACGCAAGAGCAAGGTGTTGTCGAGGGTGCACCTGAAACTGAAGGGGAGACGCAGGCAAGTCAACCGCCTACGGTGGCGAACAGAGTTATCACGGAAAATGGCGTAGTGGGTACCAGTGAGTATTAGAAACCTCGATGCGTACATGCATTGACGTGAATAATCTAAGCAGTGGTCGAATTTAGTTATAACTTTCGATCCGATTTTTGGCCATTTCTCAAGTAGAGCGTCTTAATTACGCACGTTCGACGACACATTAAGATAGAGACGAAAGATTAAAAAAAAGGTGAGAGCTGAAAATCGCGCCGAAAATTGTAACTAAATCCGACTACTGATCTAAAAACAAACACATTTTTTAACATATCGCAACATATAGAGTTACACCACCGGCTTTTGTGTAAACGCGATTGCGTTATATGTGTAACCGCTTGGCATACTTTGTATAACCCGCATATACATGTGTGCTTATCCACGCGTTCCGATCCTAATCACAACTGAACCATTACTTTTACTACATTTGTGTCAATTAACGAGACAGTAGGGAATGTCCTTATTTGTAATAGTGCCGTTTAGTGTCGATGTGAACGCATGTCTTTTAGCTGGAGAGGAAGAATCTCCGAAGGAACCGTCACTGCGACCGGCTACGAGTAGTATAGATGTAAACGGGGAAGACGACCGTCAGGATTTAAGTTCTATCGGAGATATTACGATCGACAGTGTTAAAGATCATTTGCTGTAAGTTCAGTTAACATTATCAGATATTTTGTCTAATTTATCTATTTGCTTATGTACGATACAAATTTTATTTCAATTTTGAGTTTAGTTATTAGGATTTATAATTTTCAATTAATGTCACTTTACGTTTATGAATATTTAATTTTTATAAACTGTTGAACATATACTACATGGCTTGATAATTCATTTCGCCGCTATGTTAATTAATGCTAGCATTTCGATGTACTTGCCATTTTTTTGGCAGTAACAGTCCACTTTTCAGAAACGCGACGTCTTCCGAAGAGCTCCACAATCGTTTGGCAGGACTTAAGATGGAGGTGACTTCACGAACTTCCGAGATATCCACTCAAAATCAGTCGCTAGTGGTGAAAACAACCACTGTGGTTTCGCAAACCACGAATAGCACGACCGCTAATGGCGAAGTCGAGACGAATCAGGCGAACGAATCGCAACACGTAAACAGTGAGTGAATTCGAAATCGATCTAGATCTGTCAAGTGACTGTTACACAATTTAGCTCCTATCACTTGATCTGAACTATCAGATTGACTATTTGTAAAGAAATGGATCTTTGAATATATTTGTAATAGCTTCATATACGAACAGTTAAATGCGTGACTAATCGAGTATTTTCTAGATCACGTATTTTACTGATTTTCCAAAATAAAATAAAATCACTAATCGACAGATTACGATTCACACCGCAGGCACACACTACAGTAGAGCGTGTTGGTTCATATATATTTTATATATGTTTCCTAAACGTATTTAATGTTTTATAATTGTTTAGGAAACGTATATCATAAGATCAACATGTACTACTTGGAACGTTACCTTACATTGTGTTACAGTTAATCTCTACATTTTCATCTTTGTGTTTCGGCGCTTCCGATAATTTTTATTTTGTTTCTTCCACTCTTATTATTTATTTGCATTCATTACATTTTATTTTCATCATTATTTTTTGTTTGTGGCGTGTTTTATTGCGCAGGCACTACAGTAGAGCGAGAGATACGCAGTGGTATCGAGACAACAACGACACATGCTACCATCACTCTGCCCCCGAACGTCGAGGTCAGCAAACGGCACTGAATATAATTATAATTAATTGGTGTCGGCCGTTACCTCGATTATTAATCTCATGTTGATGCTTTAGTACCTTGTTGTTAGCGCTTTATCATTAGTTAATTGATCTTCCGCTACTAAATGCTTTTCATTCATTTATTTATGCTAATTAATTCCTCGCTCCACCCTTCATGCGATATTCATTAACAAACTGACTAATATAACAACATTGAAATGAAAATGAACATTGAAATGAATGTAAAGCTTTTAATTACTAACCTGATAGATCTTATTTTTTAACGAGAAACGTTTATTAAACGGTAAATAATTGTTTAACTATTCCAGATTAATGCCGCGGACTTGGCCAATTTGGAGGTCACCACGACCACAGTGACCACTACTACAGAAAGGTCCAAGGCGCCGTTGGCTAGGCCGGAGGAAGTCAGTTCGTAGGCCTGTTCCATATCGTTTTTCCATGCTGACCATGCATCGATTTCGCGCTCCATTTATAGAGCCATCAATAATTAGTTCTCTTACTGAATAAACGTGTACACAGCGGCGATATAGATAAGATTTATATATCGTAGATTTTTTAAGAAATTTAGATTTCTACGCAGCATTTCAGCGATAATCACTCACGCCGCGCGAGCGACGAGTGATCAATTTTTAATACGACTTTACGCATTTTCATTGACATTTACGTCATTGCATTCTACTTGTGAAAGTGTTCCAATGAATAACTTTGGGAATTGACAGGGAATCAATGATTTTTAACGAAGATAGGGGCCTAGAAAACATTTTATTTATCATACGACATAAGAAATACAAATCCTCTCTCATTGTGATTTCTTTCAAAATTTTAAAATTTTTACTATTTATGAAAATCAAGATAACAGTTTTATGGAATATTATCGTATCAAAATATCCAATTTTGGAATAAATTTAAACGATTTTTATCACGAGGATTGATATCGTTTTGCACGGTCGATTTTAACTTGTCTATTAATTTAATAATGAATCTGGTGCATGTTGTATAATCAGTCTAATTGTAGACTTTTAAAATAGATTATAGTTTACCGAGAGCTAGGGAGAATGATGAAACATCACAAACCATGAATTATGGCAGCCTTAAATCTACTGTTATTTTATATATATTTTTTAATTATTAAAGACATGCGACATCCGCAGTATCCGCAGTATTTGAAATGTTTCGAGCGTCTTTTATAGTTTTTTGCGAGCAGAAATATGATGCGATACAGAGATGCTTCGAACATCAAAAAAAAAAACGTAGCTACTTAAGTAGAGAGTTATATATATATTTGACGAACAAGCGAGGAGATTAAGCAAGATAAATTTGAGAGATAATATCTGTCGATGGTCGTGATGTAGGAAGAACGCGTTGAAAAATATATTTTTTATCAATGTTGCTTAATCGTTAAGTTTCCTCTCTCTCTTCGCGTTATCGAAGAGTGTGTTCACCGAATGTTCATGAGAGAATCCTCAAATATTCGGGAACGCTTAACGTATTACATAATACCGACATAGTTATTTTATTGTTGCATTTATTCGCAGTCTTTTTTCTAGACGGAATAGTCGCATGGATAGTCTTTAACAATGGACTATTGTTGCAAAATTCTTTACCGATTTTTAGAAACATACTATATATATATAGGTACATAGTATTTTGTTCGGTGAAATACTTTTCGCTACATATATAAATAGAGTGTAGCTTTTTTCGCAGCAAATTGAATATTTCGTAGCTTGTCTTTTCACGAGAGTAGACCGATTTTATTGAATATAATATTTTCTTATAATTTTGATCTCAGTAGGATTTGTCTTGGGAATAATTCATATTCCGCAAACTGCAGTTTTTCTTAACCACACACATGCGCCGATAATGTACTCTTACGATATTGTACAAAAACAAATCCGAAGTGCAACAGACTGATGGAAATGTGCCCTTCGATCGCATTTTTGCTTATTAATTTGCTTTCCTTTACATAGATAATATCAAATGATCAAAATTTTAATTGATGATAAATTTTAATTTTAAATATATACTGATGATAACATTGATTATCTTTAGATAAGTTTTAATCTTTGTAGATAAGTATTTCAACATCCTTTAAAACTTCTTTTTATTGGCATTTTATTGACGAATGTATATTGAGTTAATTGTAATCTTTAAAGCATAATGTATTGTCATGTGTCGCACATGTGTGTGTCTATGTTTGAGAAAAGAAAAAAAAAGGTGTATCTACGTGTTGAAATGGATTTTAATTTTTAATCGCTAAGTGTAAAGTGCTATTAATAATACTGATTTTATCGAATCAACGCCGAGCTTGCTGAGATACGCGCATTCATAACATTGTAAATTGTTTTTTACTTTGATAAAGTAATGTATAGTGTACACAGAGAATGTGAAATTGAAACACTGCCCCTGAAACTTTTTCCTATCCAACACTGTTAAATACCGATTGTAACACGTCATATATTAAATGCCTATTACAATGAAATATATAAGTAATTCTTAATGTATTTTCTATTTCAAATCGTGCTGTATTGTTTATTTTCCTAGATCTTTTCACTTTCCTTAAATCTTCATAAATATAATTCCTTCTATGCGTTTGACACTCTAGGATGTTATGATAGGCTATCGGTTATATTTTAAAAATGATATAAATAAGGTAACTTTATTTTACCTAAATGTCGTCTAATGTTTATAATAGTTATTAAAGTTTTAAAATCTGATTTTAAATTTGTTTTTGTATATATTCCATGCTCCTACCACATCAATATTTCTTGACAATTCATGGATCTGAAATCCAAGAAAAATATGTTTTATATTGATTGCTGTGATTGATCTCGTAATTATTGTAATATTCTATAAAGCATTAAGCAAAAGAAAGCAGGAAATAGCATTTATAAAAAGTTATATCGATTATTGCTGCTGAAAGTAATTTTATTGACTGCAATGGGAAAACAAAGTATATTAAATGCGTGATTACATCAAGCTACAAATATTAATTAAAGGAAGCAAGAAATCATCAAAGCGGAAGCAGTAAGCGGAACTAGACGTATACAAAGGCTACGCTGAAGCGTGAAGCATCACAATTTTAACATTTATTTAAATTTACCCAAATAGTAGCTCTTTAAATATTGCTCCGCATGGAGTATTTCCTCGCATGGATGTTTATTAACTTCCCTGTATAATAAATCGAGAACGGCTTTCACCGCCTCGATGTCGTACATATTTGCGAGTAATCTCTCCCTGAAAGGCCTCAGTTTTTCCACGAGTTGTTTATTCTTGGAGATAGAGCCAATATGATCTCGCAGGATCTCGTTATACGTCGGCCAGTCATTCTCGCACGCTGGACAATCGCAATCGAGAAAGTAATCCTGCAGTATCTTTTGCTTTCTCTCGGATCGTGACATGTACGCGTAAATACCGCCGTAACTTGTAAATATTTGATCTCCGGGATGTATGGGTGTCAAGGCACGCGTGATCATTGTCAGGCCCTCGAAATGTCGAAAAGTATTCGGTGCGCAAGAGTGATTGTACAGACTGTGAGCCACATATAAACCTGAACCCGACACAATTCCTGGTTCTTGTTGTATCTATAAGATAAATGTATAACTATACATTTCGAGCAAAAGAAAATGTTCTGCATACATACGTAATTTATAAATAGTAGATTTTTTAAAGCATATAAAGAATATACATGATTAAGCATGTAGGGCCCATAACGGGTTTGATAATAAATATACAATAAAATCAGAATTACGAAAGAGGCGAAACTCACTGAAAAGCAGTTAGAAGACATTATCACGCAAGCACGAAACATTATACTGGCGCAAAATTTGATCTCAGAAAATTCACTGATGTCCTTCAAATCGTCAATCTCGTATCTCTTAGAAAAAAATTTTGTCTGCGTGGCTAGAAGAATTACCGCGAGGGCCGAGATACAGGCGAACGCGCTGATTCCGATCAGCGGCCTCGTAGTCATATTGGTCGCCAGGCTCAGTGCGGACCGGGCGCTAAAGCTGTCTAATATCCCAGTATCTGTAAATCCCGCCGTTCTATTGTCTGCAATGAAAGGTATCAGAGAACCATTATGTGATTATCACAATTCAATTACATTAATATTTCGAATATGACGTATACCTGAATTAGATTCCGCAGTTTTCATATCTTGTTGCAGTTCCTTAATTTTGGTTCCATTCTCGGTCACTACAATCAGCAATCGAATGATTTTCGAAATCATTCTTATTTTATCTTTGTCCACATTGAGCAAGTTCGTCAGCAGCTTCAGAATTGGACATTCCGTCTCGTGGCACATTTCCCACGCCAGCTTCCTGCAATTCTCGGAGCAATACTGAGCTATCGGGCATTCTGAGCACGGTATTAGATTGTAGCTTCTAGATAGACAATAGTGGCAATGTGTGTAATATCTGTAAACGATGAGAACATAAGTTTTTACTTCGAGCATTAAGGGAGAAGATGTAGTTTGCGAAATTACAAAACTCTATATTTTTTTTCTCATAAATCAACATATTTGAATCTTTTTTGAAGAAAGTCAATTTTTTGCAACTACGATTTCTCGTAGCTTTTTGACAAAATTATAATTTTTTAAAATCAAACGGTTAAATCATAATTCACAATTTATTTTTGAAGAGATTGAAAAAAATTACAAGAATTGCTCCGGCACTTAAAAAAAATAAAATAAGAAAAAACGAAGAGACAGATTTATAAGAGCGAGAAATCACATGATGCCAAATAACACACATTTATATTATACTTTTGAAGTTTATTATAAATAAGCTTGTGCTATTTGGTGTGTCACGATCTCACATCTCTCGCAATGACTTATCCTCATCTTCTTGTCTATTTCGAATAAAAAAATACAGATAGAGAGAATTACAAATAGAGATAACAAATCAAATGAAAAATTTAACACAATTTAATTAGTAGCTTACCGTTCTTCGTAAATAACATGTGCATACGGATCTTCGATACTGACTATATCGCCAGGTTTAAATTCCCGTGTCGCTATGTAGTGTCTGCCGTATCTCCCAGAGAAGGATATCGCGACGCCGTCACTGACAGCGGGAACTTGGCGGTTCGGGCCGTACGTTAACTTGGAGAAATCCTCCGCCTGCAAATACCTCGGCTTTCGCGGAGGGACCTTTGTTGCATAATGAGCATAACTTTCGTTACTTGTCGCACCTTGTTTCTTTGGGATTCCTTGATCGTTTCCCACCGCTGCCCCGTTCCCTGCGTACTCCGCGAGATCTTCTGGATTTGGAACAGATCTCTCGATACTGTCGCATAAATACGATTCATTCGTAATTTTCTGATAATCGGTATCCTCCAGTCGCAACATTTCTTTAATCTCCGTTATCGCTTTATCCCCTCTGTCCTTCAAGTTTCTCTGTTTCTCCTTTGGATATCCGTGAGACAAAGCTGCTTCAATATCTATTAGACATTCCTTATACAATTGTTTCCTATACAAAGCGGCAGATCGGTTCGCATGTGCGTATGCCATGAGTTGATCGCTATCGGCGTACGCCAAGCTCAGGGTGTAACATTCGATAGCTTCCAGATCGTCACCCATCACAAAGTGTTGATTACCTGAAAATTTATTCGTACGGAATTAGATATACGGTACGTATTTGTTAATATTCAGAAAATATGCACCTTCTTCTCTGTATCTAATAGAATCTTCCTCGTTTTTCTTTACAGCGTACAGAGGAGGCATCTGGGATTTGACCATATTTTGCAAGATGTGCCCAACGAGAGCTTCGCATTCCTTTTGCAATCCATATCCAACATGCGATTTATTATTTTGCTTGAGGGTCAATACAAGTTCCTTTGCTATCTCCATTTTTTGTGGATATAATCCTTAAAATACTGTTTTATATGTATAATATATTTCGAAAATATTAGACCGAATCTCCCTTTTTTTCTTATAACTTAGATTTGTCACTTAACTTTATGAGTACAACGCATAACACATATACGTATGTAACATAATATATAATGATCTAAACCTTAATTAATAACAAATAATAAAGAAAATTTTAAATTCCTTCCTTCTTTAACAACTTATTCGTGACTTTTATTCATGTGATGTTCAACCTTTTATATATTTATCACTGATTGTGAAACTTGAAATCTGTATTTTTATGTTTGGTGTAATTAAAACTATTGCAAGATGTATATGTATTTTATATAAACACAGTAATTATTTTATAGATTACGATATTCAAAAGTTGACCTTAGACGGTAACTGAATAAGCCATGGTTGAACGTGTACTGCGAGAACATTGAAGCCGGTGAAACTAAATTTACCTCAAGCCGGATGACAGAAAAAGACTATTGCTGTGCAGGAATTATTTGAGCGCTCATTGTACGCAAACGATTAACTAAAAGTAAATTAAGACGTAGGTAAAAAAAAGTCTCATATATAAGTGAGCATTATAGGTGTTAACATTTGCTTGCTATTGTATATTCAAGTTTCTTTTGTTTAATCATAAAAATATATTTGCGTAATTCAATAATTAAGTAAAAAAGAATTAATTATTACTATTCTTGAAACTGATTTTTTGCAAATACGTTTAGTTTAATTTATAATAACTTTCTAATTACAATATAATTATTAATATATAAAATGTAATTATTTATTTCGCACTTTTAATTTTTAATTAAAATTTTGAAATGTACCATTTTTAATATCTTCAGTATAATATTTTTAATGTTTACATACAAGTATATTATTACTATTTCAATAATTACATTACTATAATATTTTAACCAATGAATAATTGTACATATAATATATATAATTCTTATTAGAAAAAATTTATAAATTTATACATTTATTTCCAGAAAATGCAATTAAACATGAAATACTAAATGCGTTCACAATCGTTTTTGTACTGCTAATGAGAGCAAATTGGCAAATATCCAAATTTCAGTTCTATCCTATGCAATATTTAGTCTGTGTTACTTAATCGTTAGGCTCAGTTCCACTGATAATTTTAGTTAATTAGCTGGGGCAATGCTGCGATCAATTCTAGTACTGTATATAATAGTATTTATAAAACTTCTCTTTTACTTATTTTTAATGCAATAAATCGATAACTTAGGAAACACCAAAAGAATTAATATCAACGACGAAAAATTCTATCACATATTTTTGTTGTCCCTATTTATCTGGCAAAAGATCTAGATTCTCAAAACTCTGTCACCTGGTGATATATTTAAATGGGTAATTTAATAATTTTTCATCATTACTGTCTATTAAGGGATAAATTGAAAATTCATAATAAAAAAGTAAAGATTACTTAATAGAAGAATCTTTATAAAGAAATCTTTATTAAGAAATTACTTGGTGTGAAGAATGCTTATCGCGAGACTAATTCTTTCATGAAAATTTATCAACGTGTATTGTACATGTTATTAACAAAAACATTTGTAAAAAGCATTTCAAAATCTATAAGTAATCATTCTATACCAAATCCTATCAGACTTCAGATGAACTGTGACTCGAAAATCTTCAATCAAAAAATATTTCAGTCTTGAAAAAAAAGACTTAGTTTATATTTGCAACAAAGAATAAAAATCCTATTTTAGACTACATTACTTTTAAAGGAAATTGCATCATAGAAACAAAGCAATATAAATATATATAATTGTTTATTAATTATAATTTAAATGAATAGAGTTGCATTTAGCAATTAATTATTAATACTAATAATGTAAAATTTCCAATTAAATATATAATGGTAATAATAATAAATGCGTCATTGAAAAATAATATTAATCCGATTCTTCGGATTCCAAGTTTATACGACTACCAAACTTTGCATACAATTGTGTTTTTAATTCAGTCATGATAGTCTTCAAATCTGTGCATTTACTTTCTAATCTGGCAATCTCTTCTTTTTTCTTAGCTTTAGCATCCTCCAAAGAGCTCTAAAAAGAAGCTTTTCTTAATATCGATTAGATAACCATAATGCAGAAAAAATATCAATGCCGTCAAGAGAAAACATAAATTAAAATACTTATTTGAAACTTCTGACATAGACGATGTAAAAATAAAATCATTACAATCATAATTATTCTTGCTTAATCACCTGTGTCTTCTCAAGACAATGATAGATGAACACTTCTCCAATAAAATATGGTATTTTTACATCGTCGTCCATAAGAGCCAGTTCGTCGGAAGCATCCTCCAAATTCTTCAATTCGTTCTACCAATTGCAAACCAATTAATAATAATAATAATCTTTCTTGCAAGTTATTATAGTATTGGAGTTATTGATCATAATGTATGCAAAGCTTTGCATGACCAAATAAGGTCAACAATGTTATGAGGAAAAAACGACTTTTAACCAAATTACCTGCTTTACTCTAAGTTCTTCCTTATAATCTTCCATCTTGGCATTTTGTCTGGCAAATTTATTAATCTTCTGTTGCTCCTCGTAAGTGATATGAACATCGGAATCCTTGCAAAATATCATGAAATAGGTTAGAATCGCAAATGTGCAAAACAGTTTATCGCTCTATCAATTTTCACATAATATTTCTTGTATTAGTATTTTACCGGCTGAAATCCAGTTTGACTATTTTTCCCTCCCGCCATATTTATATTCTTTTATAATCAGTTCAATTGTTGCATTAAAATAATTATTTAAATTATGTGGGAGAGAATGAATTCGAAACCTTGTGTCTCTCGAAAAATCATCGGCGTCGATAACGCCATCTAAGATTTTGTCAAATAACTAAAACCGACATGACGATTTCTCATGTATGTATGTATGTATGTATCTTTAAAAAGTATTTAAATTTAGAATTTGCATATATGTATATAAAAAATCAACCAATTAACGTTTAAATAAAAAATATATTTGTCTATTTTATGAATGTGTATTTATATCTGTTCGTTATAAGTTTTACTTTATACTTAAAATGAAAAAGATATATAGGTAAATGGTGGAAAGGAAAAAGAGAAATCTTTTCGAAAATATTAGACTATTAATAATGTAATTGTGTATACGGGGCTACTGTTTTATTTCTATAATTTCATCTCTTAGAGAAGTTGGGAAATGAGAAATTTTAAGTTTGTATCTGATTATAAATTAGAGGCGAGGATGATGGATTGAACTTTGAAGGAATCATATAATATATATAGTTTATACAGTTCGTAATCCAATTTGATCGGATAAGAACGGATAAAATATTATGTATATATCAAATTTGATTTGTCGTAAAATTTTATAAATTTTTAAGATTCATTCCAAAAAGTATTAATACTAAATATTAATATTCTTAATTCATATTAAAAATAAAGTACAATATAGAGTGAAATAATTAATAAACTTCTTTTTCAAAATTATAATTATCTCTCATATAATTTGCTGTAGTCTAATATACAATAATGAAAAAATGTTAATTTATTTTCCTACTCTGAAACGTAAAATTTAATGGCGTTTTGAGCTCCTTGGTCTCTGGTGTAGGTCTCTGGTCTAGGTCTTTAGTCATAGACCTCTGCAGTTTGTATCGTAACTGCTGTTCTCTAGCAGATTTTAATTTTCTGGTCGGAGTGTTCTTTAATGCTTCATTCCAATCTCCTGTGTGCCTCAAATCCAACATTATCCTAATCGACTGGTCAAGCGTAAGACTCCTTGACGAGCTAGCGCCCCAGGTGAGATATTGGTCTATAGGAAATTTCGCCATCCGAATACCTTCTTTCTTAGCTTTTGCCAACGACAATGGTTGCGAATTGGACTAAAAACAAAAGTCCAATTTAATACACAATGTACCGACAGTATAAAATCCTGTCAGAAATCCTGTCCTTACCTTGTCTACCAATGCACCTATGATATAGATCGCATCTGGATCATATTCGGTTAAATTAACTCTACAGTGTGGAGTGAGATACACCAACTCATTCTTCGGAAATATATCTAAGTAAGATTGCGACGTTATTACCACCGGAAAATCATCTTGCATCAAAGTAGGTATGTTTTGAACAAGGTGCTGCTTGAGTAATCCGTCCTTGTTAAAATTACAGAAATAAAGACTCAGAGGATCGACGTGGTTGCGATTGCTGGCAAACGCCAGAGACAGTTGCTTAGCGCAATTGTGTATCTCGCGTGAACTCATAGCATTATCATAGCCACAATCAAACACTATCTTTGGCTCAAACATCAAACTCTGAATTAATTTGCCATTGTAAAAACGGTTTATAGTTGTGTCATATATACGCATAAACATTGTGTTATGCAAGAGTCCATATTTCATTCCACCATCCTCGTTTTCCTCTTGTTCCTTTTTTTCAGCCAGCCATTCAGCCTTCTTCAATGCTTTCTTCGCCTTATCATTTTCCACTGTTTTCTCATTACGCCACAAGTAATCAAGGTACTTTCTGAAAATAAGAAAAAACATGTCTCAATCAAAATTAGCCAAATTTAATTAAAAATCAAAGATATCTTCTAATAAAGGAAAAAAATAAATTACAAGGATAAATAAAATACTGACTTTCTCTTTGAATTGCTCCTCATGTCTAACAGCGTCAACCAGTCTGACGGATCAATTTGATTAGGTACTCTTTCGGCGTTATGTCGCATAACGTTCATTTCTAATTCTAGCATTTGAAAGCGCTTGTTATTCTCGGGGTTGGACAGAAACTCATCCAGCTTCTGCTTGTCCATTTCTCGCTTTCGATTTCTCAACTCGGAGCTCGTTAAATTTGGCTCGTCGAGCACAGCGTGACAGTAAAATCGCTTGTAGATTGCATTAATTGAACACGGAACGTTTACGCTCGAAAAATAGAGCTCAGACGACAAGACACTCTCGTGGCTCGATCGCGTGAAAAATTTCCTTTGAATCCTAACTGAGACTGTCAGGCATCTTCTCATGTTATTAAACATTTTATTTAATTTGTTACAACTGCAGTTCCTTACAACAATAGAAGTTATCACTTTGTCATACACGAATGAATCTCTCTAACCCAATTTTAAACAATTCTAACCTATGATACGAACGCAATTTAAGCCCAATAGACAAACGATGCGCCACCATGCGCACTTTTGCTAGAGAGATTCCGCGTTGCCGTCTCCGATCCCCTTACTGGAGAATCGAGAATTCCTCTATTCTGTAGCCAATCAATGTACTGAAAAAATTTGTTTCTAGAAACTTGAGTCAGTGTGGGAGGAAAGATGGTGCTGCACTCTACCTGAGAGCCCAAAGTCGAACTTCCGTTGCCTGTAATACACGGAGTTTAGACCCCCTGGGTGCATCGCCTAACAATCGCTTAATACGAGCTGATGCAAAAGGTGAGGTGAGCCGTCGCGGTATAGATAAAAGCGGGATTACGTTACGCTCGAGTAGGATACGAAATATATCGCGCGGAGATATTATTGCTGCATCGAGAAGAATAACGCATACACGTGCACGCGACTTTCGTTCGTCGGTGGCAAACGGTTACATGTGTACTAATATTGGGTGCCATATTGCGTTTCAGCCTTCGGATCGGATCCCGACACAGGTACCGATTGACGAGAGACAGAGAGGAGCAGCGGGCGCGTCGTTATACTCCTAGATCGCTTCGCAGACACGCTTCGCATACATCCCGTAATCTTGCTGCTTTTGCATCATGGACGAATCCGATCGCGAGGAGGCGGCGGCTTACCGGCGGCAACAACGATACTCAGTCAGCTCGGTGTAGTGCGAACAATATAGTGTGACTCGCGCGTGTCTATGGTCTACAGTCGGTGTATATACGGCGTACTGCTCGGTAACGAGGACTACGGATCTTTCGCGATTTGTTAGCAGCAGCAGCGGCGGCGGCGACGACGACGACGACGACGACGACGGTCGAGCCGAGAGGACAAGAGGACCGAGAGAGAGAGAGAGAGAGAGAGGACTCGTCTGTGCGAGCGGCCAGTTACGTGTGTGTTTTTCATTTCGTGTGAGACCCCCTCCTCCGTCCTCCGTGTTGTGCTCGCCATGACGTTACTGTGATATCTGTGAAATCCCAATAATATCAATCCCGATGTTGGCCATAGGATTGCGCCAATGTAACTTTCGTGCTTTCAACGTGGTGGAAAGAACTCGGAGCAGCAGCGACAGCGGCAGCGGCGGTGGCGACAGCGGCAGCAGCAACGTCGACGGCGACGGCGGCGGCGGCAACTCGTGGATACCGAAGAAAGCTTCAAACGCGTTTGAAGCTTTCGAGGTCGTATTCATGGAACTATGAACCTGGACTCGTTGTCTTTTACTTTGTCACAAATCAGTTATTTGGTTGCGAATTTGAGTAAGAAAAATTTCGAGGACAGCTGTCGGGAGATATCGGTCGTGAGTATCTTATCCATCCGCACACATTTTTCATCTTCGTCCTTTTCTCCCCTCCCCCTCCCCTCCATACGCGCGCCTTTCGAAAGTTGTCGCCGCGAGCTTTTCCCCCGTCTTTCTCCCCTCCTTTTGTTTCCACTGGTCGGTTATAATTCTCGAGAGACACAAAGCGATGTTTTTGTGCTCTTATCTCGTACACCGCCGATCTCTCACCAATATATCGTGCAAACATAGATATCCACGCTCGCGGAGCAACGTGAAAATTATATAGACGCGCACGTCCATGTGATCGCACCACGTTATCGAAACACTTTCATGCTTAAGATATTTCGAATGCTTGACCCCGGCCAATATCCGTCTATTTTTATCTTATTTCCTAACGTATCGTTTTGAATTGAGAAACCTGTTTTTTTTGTGTGTACGTAAATATGTATCAACGTAATGTTTACTTTTGCTCTGTCATAACCTCCTAAGTAGGAGGCTCTTTTAGGCTAATATTAAGGTCCATCTACAATGAGAATAGACGTATGCCATACAAGACGTAAGCCGTAAGAAATTGACTAATCGTAGTCAATTATTTTTCTTATTGACGACTATGATTGGTCTCAATTTCTTACTTTACTACTCTCATTGTAAATAAACCTTTTACATTTGTTTGTTTTTATACAATAAATTTTTCAAGTCTAAAGATTGACCTATATCTCTGTATAGAGATTCGAGAACCTTTCTGTTTTGCAGCCAATCAACATGCTTGAAAAATTTGTCATACGACAAAAATGGACAAATGTAGTATTTTGGCCTTAGTCTCTCATTCCAACATTTTTGCATTTTCTATTTCTCGTTACCTTCTTTGTTACTGAGATCTCTTTCGAGTTTTTTTTACAAGTTTTTTACAAAAATGTAAATTAAATATTAGATACTATATTAAGTGTAAAAATTACAAATACATATATACAACATTTATGAGTTGTACATGTCGTTGTTGAAATCGTCAAAAGTTTAATGTCAAAGAACATTTACTAATTCTGATCCCTTTGCAGTTGGTGCAGTGGCATGGTCTAGAGACAGAACGACATTTGTTGCGCTGTCTGATATCGTGTGTTGACTTTTCCAAGGGTGAGCCGTCAGATTTGAGTGCGAAAGATTATTTCCAAGCAAAGCTACTAAAACAGGAGTGTAATAGCTTATTGAGCAAACCTTCTTTTATATCTACTTTGTGCTTTGCTATAGATAATCCCTTACATCATCAAAAGGTATTTATGCGAAGAACTTGCTATTTTTACCACTGTTGCAAATAGATGATATGCTTACATAAGGCGGAATGTACGCTAATATTTTCTATTTACTTTTCAGTCACTGAATCCCTCACCCAAGTTTTTTATTAATTTGAAAAAAACACTTGGCCTGACCTTGGTGCAGGAGGTCGCGTTTGCGATTGCGTTACAGCATTCAGAAAACGCGGAAATTCGTGCTTCAGCCTTAGAGCACACTCAGAAGCAGCTGCCCGAGTTGATAAAGAATTACATAAACTCAGAGACGAGTAACAAGCATCACGAGGGTGGTTTGCACGACTCTCTGCCTCAGGTCCTTCATCTGATACTCAGCCAGGCCCTCCATACTGCCAATCCGTACAATCTACCTACGGAAACAAAAGAAAAATTTCTCAAACACTTGCGACGCGACTTTCCCCGTGAATTGGTACCAGTAGTGCTAGCACCATTCCTGTATCCGGGAGACGAGGAAACTCTGCAATTCAAAATCGAGTTAAACATGGCCGTCACTCAGATGGTAAAATATCATTATTTATTATCTATAATTGTCATTTATAAGATTTTGATACATTAACATTTTTTTTTATTTTAGGATAACAACACTCTTGTAGAGTTGATTATGGAATTAGGATACAGTTTTACCAACAGCATAGAAGAATGCCGATCAGCATTAACAGGTTTAGGTCCCAGGGAGATATCCCCAGCATGTGTTGCCCGTGTATTGTCACAGATGGCACGTAGCTGTAGCAGTCTCGATGATGCTGGAGCCCTACAAACGTTTTGGAGCAACTCAACCGCCTCGCAGGATTCCAGTAAGGAGAAACCATCGGACAGTTCCATTGCCACAACATGGAACGTCGAAGTATTCATTTTAACGTTGAAAGAGATAGTAAGTTTATACCATGCCTTTATAAATTGGTTAATTTCGTATCTATATATAATTTTTCCTTTAATTTTCTGTATTTTAATATTTTCTACAGTTTAGTACTTTTTTTTAACGTTCTCTACCGATTAATTTAAATTATACATAATGCGATTGTTATCAATATTAACTGTATACTTTTCAGCAATCCACATTGTCTTGGAACGAAGTGATGATGAAATTAGATCATGCAGAGTTCATGATAAAGGACAGGCAAGGTTTAAACTTGTTGATTACGGGTCTCAAGCTGGCCTTCCAGCATCAGGGGTATCCACCCGACATGTTTCCCGTTGACCACTTTTATCGACTCTGGGAAAATGTAGAAGGCCAATTTTCTTTAATTCAACAAATCCTCAAGTGCCCGGACATATTTTGTTTTGCTGACTATCCGTATCATACGGTGACAGTCGATGTATTGAAAGCAGCTCCTGAGAGCGACAGCAAGGAAGCCCAAACCTGGCGTTCATTGAACGTAATCGAGTTACTTTTACATATGGCCGAGAGAGGCTTGTACACTTCTGTACAAGAGGTCTTCAAGTGGCCACTCCAGCATTGTCCGGATGTACTTATTTTGGCGTTACTACAGATGAATTCACCTTTCACGTTACTGAGACAGGAGTTGTTTACCACTCTGTTACCGATCTTTCTCGGCAATCATCCAAACTCTGCTGTGATACTGCATCATGCATGGCATACTAATCATCCAAAAATTAAATCTCTTATAATGCATGCCATGGCAGAATGGTATACGCGTGGTGATCACGATCAAACGAGATTATCGCGAATCTTGGATGTTGCGCAGGATTTGAAAGCACTCTCTGCTTTACTTAATTCGCAATCTTTTCCATTCGTCATTGATCTTGCCTGTTTGGCGTCTCGGCGAGAGTACTTGAAACTAGAAAAGTGGTTGACAGACAAGATTAGGGACCATGGAGAAGTTTTTGTTGCTGCGTGTGTGAAATTTCTACAACGACGATGTCCCCAAGTCATGGGTCCTGGTATCAAAGAGGATCCTACAGTTCCTAAGGCAAGCCAGCTGCCACAGGAAACGCTCACTACAATCTTGGCTTGCTTGCAAGTTTGCGCCGGGTATGTTTTCTTTACACGGAATTTATATAATTCATCGACATTTAATTATGTAATCACATCTGATTTTTCTGTTTTCCATATATTGTAGAAGTGTCTCCCAAGAACTTTCGGATTTAATAATGACGATGGTGCAGAATTGCAGTCTAATGCTGAGTAAGAGCACTATGAACAGACCACCACCACCGGGAGTCCTTAGGCATCGAGGATTAGAAATTCTTAATCCGGCAACTTTGGGAAGCCAAGTATGATCTTTTCTTCGTATATATTTATTCTTTTGTCAATAATTTGTGAATGTTATACCGTTTCTTCGTTTATAAATTACTTTTTTTTTACTTTTTATTTTTTCTTGCTAGATAAAATTTTTTATTAATTCGTTAAATTATATTTAAAATTATACCTTACAGCATATGTATATATTATTTTGTAATGTATATTATTTTATTTTCCACAGCTATTT